GTCCAGCAGACAACAATCGAGCAGTCTAGCAATCCAGCAACCCAGTAATAGTAAAAGTAGCAACAAGAACTACCACCACCAGCAACAGCAGCTGCGACAGCAGCAACCACAACCTTCTTGAAGTGCTCTTCTTGAAGCATTCTCTGAAACATTCATTTTAAGTGCATCCTAAAGTGAAGAGTTCTTTCTCCCTCTCTGGGTTCCAGTTTATACTTTCTTAAAGTCTGTACAAGAATGTTTTTTTCAGCTGGAAAAAATCCATACTCCCTGAAGAGTCTATTGCTTTTAAGAATTTTGTAAACATTTATTTATGGATTTACATATTTATTTACTACTTTGCATGCTTGAATCCAGAGTTTGATACTTGCTAAGCAAACATTTGATCACTAAGGCATGCTTCTTGCCCTACATTTTTTTAAATTGGAACACCTGCATGACAAGAACTTCAAGTATCTGAAGAAAGAAACTGAAGAAAGAAAGAAGAAGATGGAAATATCTCCCATACTCATGGATTGGTAGGAATAACAGTAAAAATGCTCATCTTACCAAAAGTCATCTATAGATTCAATGCAATTTCATCAAAATACCAACACAATTCTTCACAAAACCTTGAAAGAGCAATTCTCAACTTCGTATGGAAAAACAAAAACCCAGGATAGTTAAAACAGTGCTGTAAAACAAAAGAACTTCTGGAGGTATCACAATCTTTGATTTCAAGCTATACTACAGAGAAACAGTAAAACAAACAAACAAACAAAAAAACTGCATGGTATTGGCATAAAACAGACAGGTTGATAAATGGACTCGAATCAAAGACCCAGAGGTAATCCCACACACCTCCAAACAGTTGATTTTTGACAAAGAAACCAAAAGCACACTGCTGGAGCCCGCTGGCAGAGTTGAACAGTTCCTGAATGGGTAGAGAGGATTGAAAGAAAATTAAGACAAACAAACAAAAAACAGCACACTACATGTGGGATCTGTTTGAGAGGGCTGCCAGTAGAAACTGTCACACCAGTTTACTCCAGAACCCCTTATCATAGTCAGAGAAAAGCACCTCAGTACAATGAAGGGGTTACCTGTCTGTGTTATCCTCACACAAACAAAAGAAAGTGAACTTGGCAAAACATCCTTCATAACCCTGACTGCAGGTGAAGGACAGGATGAAATCATGTTTTTTGCTGAGAGCTCAATAATAAAGCAGCCTGACAAACAAGCAGCTCTCCACACCACACAATGGATAAAGAAGAAAGCATTGTCAACAAACGGTGCTGGCCCTATACATCTACAAATTGTCTCTAATCTTAACATATCACATAAAATTGATGATTAGTTCAAAATTGGCCAACATTGAGATGTGACAATTTATTCCATCTCATGGTGTCTCTAAAGCTCTAGTTCTTTATAAATTTCTTTTTGAAGTAATTATTAATCCATGATCAGTTGTATCAAATACTACAGAAAAAAAAACCAAAAACACCTTTGTATCATTCATCCAGATCCAATCTGTGGTGATACCTTTGGAATCTACAATGTTTTCTAACCCTTAGGTGAGGTTATTTTGTTGAGAATTGGGCTCCACAATTCTGTATTTTGATTGCTTTTTCAGTTTTCTGTTATAGTCTCCATATGTTGCAAAGAGAAGTCTCCTTAATAAGGGTAGAGTGCTACACATACCTTTAGGTATAAGAACAAATGTTTAAAGTATAATTAGGGGTTATACTGATGTAATAAAGTGGTGGTTGAGGGTCCCCACAAATATACATGACTTCACTAGCCCCGGATAGTTTGCTTGGTTTTTAGTACCAGACATAACTTCTCTGTTGTTGAGTGAATCTTAAGTTTAATTACAGAGCTATTTGTTACTGTCACGGTATCTGTGTCATTACTGAACATTTAGGGTTACTGTGGCATGCTGATTCTGCTTCTGCTTCACAGGTTTCATAGCTGGGTAAGACCCTTGGTCTTTTACCCACTTTGGAAGCTTACATGAAAACTTCTGGTACCATGAAGCTAATACCCAGAAGGAAGCATTTAAGTCAGTTCCAGCTGAGTGGCCTCTAGGTTCTGTATTTGAAGTGTTTGGTGTCTTCAGCAATAAAGAATTACCTTCTGCCTTGGGAAGGCATGCAAGCAAGGATAACATAACAGAATGTAATGTATTGAGAGTCTTTTGGACAACTATGACCAACAACTCAAAAGAGGGTTCCTCATGCCTAACATTGGATGTTATTTTTTTAGATAGTCTTTGGCTCTTTTTTAAATAATTTTTATTTTTTTATATTAATCACAGGTTATTTACTTTGGATCCCAGCCATAGCCCCCTCCCTCATTCCCTCCCAAACCCACCCTGCCTACCTCATCTCCTCCCTGCCCCTTTCCAAGTCCACTGATAGGGGAGGTCCTCCTTCTTGTCCATCTGACCCTAGCTTATCAGGTGTCTTCAGGACTGGCTGCAATGTCCTCCTCTGTGACCTAGGTAAGATGTGCCTACCTTGAGGGGGGTGAGAGGGAGGGCAAAAAGCCAGCCATTGAGTTCATACCAGAAATAGTCCTTGTTCCCCTTACTAGGGATACTGAGCTACCATGGGCTACATCTCAGCAGAGGGTCTAGGTTATATCCACACATGGTTCTTGGTTGGAGAAACAGTCTCATAGAAGACTCTGTGTCTTGATATATTTGGTCCTTGTGGAGCTCCTGTACTCTCCAGGTATTATTAACTCCCCCTTCTTTCATATGATTCCCTGCACTCTGCCCAAGGTATGGTTATAAGTCTCAGAATCTGCTTCAATACATTACTAGGCACAGTCTTTCAGAGGCCCTCTGTGGTTGGCTCCTGTCCTGTTACTCGTTTTCTCCTACTTCCAATGTCCAACTCATTTGTCTTTCTAAGTAAGGATTAATCATTTTACCTCAGGTCCTCTTTCTTCTTTATCTTCTTTAGGTCTACAGATTTTAGTATTTTTTTCCTATCTTATATGTCTAGTATCCACTTAAAAGTGAGTATATACCATGTGTGTCTTTCTGCTCCTGGGATACCTCACTCAGGATGATCCTTTCTAGATCCTGCCATTTGCCTGCAAATTTCGTGACTGCCTTGTTTTTAATTGCTGAGTAGTATTTCATTGTGTAAAAGTACCACAATTTCTGTATCCATTCCTCCATTGAGGGACCTCTGGGTTGTTTTCAGGTTCTGGCTATTACGAATAAAGCTGCTACAAACATGGTTGAGCAAATGTCCTTCTGTACTTGAGCTTCTTTTGAATATATTTCTAGGAGTGGTATAGCTGGATCTTGAGGAAGCACTATTCCTAATTGTCTGAGAAGGTGCCAGATTGATTTCTAAAGTGGTTTTACAAGTTTTCATTCCCACCAGCTATGTCAAAGGGTTCCCCTTTCTCCACAACCTCTCCAGCATGTGTTATCAGTTGAGTTTTTTATCTTAGCCATTCTGATGGGTGTAAGGTAAAATCTCAGGGCCGTTTTGATTTTCATCTCTCTGATGGCTAAGGATATTGAACATCTCTTTAAGTGTTTCTCTGCCATTCTATATTCTTCTAAAGAGAATTCTCTGTTTAGCTCCTTACCCCATTTTTTAATTGGCTTGCTTGATTTATTGCTTTTTAACTTCTTTAGTTCTTTATATATTCTGGATATTAGACCTCTGTCAGATATAGGGTTGGTGAAGAACTTTTCCCAGTCTGTAGGCTGTCATTTTGTTCTGACAACAGTATCCTTTGCTTTACAGAAGCTTTTCAGTTTCATGAGGTCCCATTTATTGATTGTTGATCTTAGAGCCTGTGCTGTTGGTGTTCTGTTCAGGAAGTTGTCTCCTGTGCCAATGAATTCTAGGCTGTTCCCCACTTTTTCTTCTAACTGATTTAGTGTATCTGGTTTTATGTTGAGGTCTTTGATCCACTTGGACTTTAGCTTTATGCAGGGTGTTAAATATCGGTCTATTTTCATTTTTCTGCATGTAGAAATCCAATTGGACCAGCACCATTTGTTGAAGATGCTGTCTTTTTTCCATTGAATGGTTTTGACTTCTCTGTCAAAAATCAAGTGTTCATAGGTGTGTGGGTTTATTTCTGGGTCTTCTATTTGGTTCCATTGATCTACCTTTCTGATTCTATGCTAATACCATGCAGAGCAGAAGGCTGGAAATAATCAAACTCAGGGATGAAATAAATCAATTACAAACAAATAAGACTATTCAAAGAATCAATGAAACCAAGAGCTGGTTCTTTGAGAAAATCAAGCAGATAGACAAACCCTTAGCCAAACTAACTAAAAGGCTGAGAAAAACTATCCAAATCAGCAAAATCAGAAATGAAAAGGGAGATATAACTACAGATACTGAGGAAATCCAAACAATCATTAGGTCATACTACAAAAGCCTATATGCCACAACATTTGAAAATCTAAAAGAAATGAAAACTTTTCTTGATAGGTTCCATCAACCAAAATTAAGTCAAGATCAGGTAGAAAGATTTAATAGCCCTATATCCCCCAAGAAAATTGAAACAGACATCAACAGTCTCCCTTCCAAAAAATGTCTTTGGCTCTTAAAGGGAGCATAGTCAGTCAAGACGCGATGTGTGTGTAAGTGCATGTGTATTAATTAAGTTTTTATTTTTATGTAGTTAATAGCATAATTCTTTATGACTTTTCCAGACATACTTGGTTATATTTTACCTTCTTTTCTTCTCTGTTTATATCCCCCTCCCCTCCTTATTTAGAGACCCTCTTTTCCAAGCTTAATGAAAAACAATCAGATCACCTGTGTTCTGTTATTCCTTTTCCTGCTCACTATTGCCTTTCCACCATGGCAGTTGTCTGTATTACTTTCTTGGTTTCTGCAGTTACTCCTGAATATGTGCTTCCATCTGAAGATTTGATATTAGGAACCTCCGATGAGAGGACACATAACATTTGTCTTTCTGGATCTGGGTTACTTTATTTAATAAGATATTTTGGTGTTCCATTCATTTACCTGAAAAAAAGTGTGAAAAACTTCATGAATTTGTGTGTCATCCTTGCTTAAGGCAATGCTAATTTTCTTTATATTGTACTAATTTTTGTATATGTGCTACCAAAGTGAGCACCATGTAATTCTTTTCATCTATTTAAAATTTAGTTTAGTAATCTTTGTTTAAATACTTTTACCTTATATATGTTCATAAGCTGATTTATAGCTGTAATGGTATATTTATTTGGGTTAAGTGATTCTCGGACAAACGTTTTATGTGTGTCTGTGAGGATATTTCCAGAAGACCTGAGCCTTAGAATTATTGAACTAAGAAAAGCAAATAGCCATCTGCTGTGCTTGTGAGCACTATCTAATCTGTTGTAGATTTCAACAGGATAAAAAAGCAAAAGAAATAATTTATTCTCTTTCTATGATAGGACATCACTTATCTCCTATTCTCAGCAGTGATATTTTCATTTCTGATCTGCAAATCTAGGTTGAATTTTAGTACTGATATTTGTAGCCATTTAGTTTGCAGATGACATCATAAGACGATGCGCAAAGTGATTTGCATTAATTTCTATTGCATGTGAACTCAATTCTGCTCTTCTGAAGAAATCTAAAAGAAACTTTTACCTTGGTACTGTTTCCATACTTTTCTCAGGTTAGTTTTCCTCCTCTTCCTAATGCTTTTTGTAGTTTCTGTTTATGCAAGTCAGAAAAAATCAGAATAATACTAACTTAATGAGATGAATGTAGAAGGGTTTTTGTCTTCTGTTTTCTAGACCAACTTTGCAGAATTGGGACTATTTTTCTCAGTTTTACCTATATTCCTCCTGACAGAGCTTTGATTATTCATTTAAACCCCTTCTTTTGTTTGCATATATCCACTACAATAAAATCTCCCAATGGCGATGCTTCAGCTGTATTACATAAATATTGATTTATTGCATTCCATTTTCAGTTAGTTTGCTAATGTTATATTGCCCTTAAGACTTCCTTTTTGAACCATGAACTATTCAAAGAGTGTTGTTTCTTTTTGAAATGATTTCCAAGTCTATTGTATTTGATGTTATTAATTTATTCTATTTGATTTAAAGTATTTTTAAATTCTTGAAAATTTTTCTGATATGGCAGTGTTAGTGTTTCTAAAGTAGAAACTAGAAGATAATATGAATTCAATCTTATTAAAAGAGGCCTCCATTAATATTGACCAAATACTTTGATGGTATAAAACTTTATACTTGCTGATTTTTTTTTCTACTTACCAATTATTTAGAGAGAAGTGTTAAGGTGTTCCCGTAGAGTTGTATATATTTTCTATTTCTCTTTTTTATTTTATCAATTTTAGTTTCACAAAATTTACTGTTGTGCTCTTTGGCTTATTCAAATCAAGGATAACTGGATTTGATTATAGTAACTAATCCGTTTATTAACAATTACATATGGTGCTTCTCACTCTACTGGTTTTATTCTGAAAACAATGTTTAATAACATATTGATACAGTCTGTCATCTTTCCCATATTGGATTAATGTTAATTGATTTACCTTGTTTCAATTTTCATTCAATAACTTATAAAATCACAGAAAGTTTTACTGTATATTGTTTTAGATTTTAATCCATTTGCTAATCTCGTTTCTAATTAGTTTATCTGAACTATTTGCTTTCAGTGTGATTACTAATAGTTAAGAACTTAAAGTTAATCTTGTGTTTCATTGAAGGTATCCCCATTCATTTATTTATTTTTTTTCTGTTTTGATATTCTCTTCCAACCTCTGGATTACTTCAGTGACATTTTGAAGTCTGTGATTTTAAGTCTCTCCCTTTGTACAGCCTCTTAGTTGCTCTAGATAATATATTACAAACCCAAAAATCATCACAACCTATTTAAGTTGCCATTTTACCTGCCAAGTATAGAATTAATTCCTTTTCATTCTACTGTAGGCATAAGGTTATTGTATAATTAAAATGCAGATTTCTGTGTTATCTTGAGGTAAGTCTTGCTCTGAGAAGCTCCTGTCCTAATATTGTATAAACTGTTTCCCCTTTGGTCCTTGGATATATCAATAAAGCAGCTTACAGCTAATCACTGAGCAGGGGAGAGAATAGGGCTGGACTTCTTGTCAGCCAGCAGGGGAGGAATCAGAAGATTCAGCCACTGATAGAGGCCAGGATACTCTAAGAGAGAGAGCTCAGCAGGAAAGCTGCAAAGTGCAATGTTCCTGGGATATATTCTGGGAAAAAACAAACAAACAAACAAACAAACAAACAAAAAGATTAGCCTAGAGAGCTAAAAATAAAGTAATCTATCAGGCAGTAGGATCAGAGGGAGGGGAAGGAGGACCTCCTGAATCAGTGGACTGGGGGAGGGGCAAGGGTGGGAATAAAGAGGGAAGGTGGGATTGGGAGGGGAGAAGGGAGGGAACTACAGGGGAAAAACAAAGTGAACAAACTGTAATTAATAAAAATAATTTATTTTGATGACGGTGTCCTTTGCTTTACAGAAGCTTTTCAATTTCATGAGGTTCCATTTATTGATTGTTGCTCTTAGAGCCTGTGCTGTTGGTGTTCTGTTCAGGAAGTTTTCTCCTGTACCAATGAGTTCTAGGGTATTCCCCACTTTTTTTTCTAGCCGATTTAATGTGTCTGGTTTTATGTTGAGGTCTTTGATCCACTTGGACTTCAGTTTTGTGCAGGGTGATAAGTATGGATCTATTTGCATTTTTCTACATGTAGACATCCAGTTGGACCAGCACCATTTGTTAAAGATGCTATCTTTTTTCCATTGTATGGTTTTGGCATCTTTGTCAAATTGGGAAAGAATCATCACCAACCCTCTATCTGACAGAGGACTCATATCCAATATATATAAAGAACTAAACAAGCTGAAAAGCAACAAACCAAGTAATCCACTTAAAAAATGGGGAACAGAGCTAAAGAGAGAATTCACTGCAGAGGAATATCGAATGGCAGAGAAGCACTTAAAGAAATGCTCAACCTCATTAGCCATTAGGGAAATGCAAATCAAAACAACCCTGAGATTTCACCTTACACCCATCAGAATGGCCAAGATGAAAATCTCAAGGGACAACACATGCTGGGGAGGTTGTGCAGAAAGGGGAACCCTTCTCCACTGCTGGTGGGAATGTAAACTGGTACAACCACTCTGGAAATCAATCTGGCGCTTTCTCAGACAACTAGGAATAGCGCTTCCTCAAGATCCAGCCATACCACTCCTAGGCATATACCCAAAAGAGGCGCAAGTACACAACAAGGACATTTGTTCAACCATGTTTGTAGCAGCTTTATTTGTAATAGCCAGAAGCTGGAAACAACCCAGATGCCCCTCAACTGAAGAATGGATGCAGAAACTGTGGTACATCTGTACAATGGAGTATTACTCAGCAATGAAAAATAAGGAAATCATGAAATTTGCAGGTAAATGGTGGGACCTGGAAAGGATCATCCTGAGTGAGTTGACCCAGAAGCAAAAAGACACTCACGGTATATACTCACTCATATAAACATACAATATAGAATAAACCCACTAAAAGCTGTACATCTAAACAAACTAAGCAAAAGAGAGGACCCTAACTAAAATGTTCAATCCCCATCCTGAAAGGCAAAGAGGATGTACATTAGAAGAAAAAGAAAATAGGAAACAACCTCGGAACCCGCTACAGAGGGCCTCTGAAAGCCAGAAGAAAACAGGAAACAACCTTGAAACCTGCCACAGAGGGCCTCTGAAAGCTTCTGCAGTATAGACTGTCAAAGCAGATGCTGAGCCTGATGGCCAACTGATGGGCAGAGTGAATGGAATTTTATGTAAGAAGTGGGAAATAGTAAGAGCTGGAGGGAACGGGAACTCCACAAGCAGAGCAACAGAACAAGATAATTTGAACACAGGGAACTTCCCAGAGACTCATACTCCAACCAAGGACTATTTGTGGAGATGACCTGGAACCCCTGCACAGGTGTAGCCCATGGCAGTTCAGTGTCCAAGTGGGTTCCATAGTAATGGGAAGAGGGACTGCCTCTGACATAATCTGATTGGCCTGCTCGTTGATCACTTCCCCCTGAGGGGGGAGCAGCCTTACCAGGCCACAGTAGAGGACAATGCAGCCACTTTTGATGAGAACTGATAGACTAAGATCAGAAAGAAGGAGAGGAGGACCTCCCCTATCAGTGGACTTGGGGAGTGGCATGCATGCGGAAAGGGGAGGGAGGGTGGGATCGGCAGGGGAGGAGGGAGGGGCTCATGGGGGGATACAAAATGAATAAAGTGTAATTAATAAAAAAAAATAAAAGATTAAAAAAATAATTTAAAAAAGAATAAAGTAATAAGTGCTCAGTTCTTGTGTTATGAAGCTTGTTATAAAGAAATACAGACTCAATTATTTTTATGTTAGCCAGGTTAGGAGAGACTAAGAAAAATGAACACAGTTATATAAAAATAATTGTAATAGTCTACATTTTAAAACATTGTCCATGTAAATATTTAGAGACACATCAGATAGTGTGGGTAGTTTTTGTTTCAAATAGCAAACATTAGAAAGTTCAGAGGAAAAAGAAAGTACCTTTTTTATGGACAATTTTTCTTTTTCTGCTGCTTTTTTCTTCTGATTTTTCAGTTCTCCTCTTGAAATACTACATCTTTAGGAGTATAGATTTTAGTATGTTTATCCTTTATTATATGCCTAATAATCACTTATGAGTGAGTATATACCATGTGTTTCTTTCTGCTTTTCTTACCTCACTCAAGATGATCTTTTCTAGTTCCTACCATTTGCCTGCAAATTTCATGATTTCCTTGTTTTTAATATCTGAATAGTATTCTATTGTGTAAATGTACTACAATTCCTGTATCCATTTCTCTGTTGAGGGACATCTAGGTTGTTTCCAAATTCTGGCTATTACAAGTAGAGCTGCTACAAACATAGTTGAGCAAATGTCCTTTTTGTATAGTTGAGCATATTTTGGATATATGCCTAGGAGTGGTATAGACATTGGGTGCAAGAGAAGACAGGGAACAGGAGTCTACCACAGACAGCCTCTGAAAGACTCTACTGATTGAGCTATAGAAGCAGAGGCTGAGACACATAACCAAACTTTGGACAGAATGCATGGATTTTGT